GCAAAATATCTCATGTACGCGACAACTGCGCAGCTGTCCGTAGAAATAGCGTGTATTTCCAATAAAGCAGTCTCACGCACGCTACCTCATCCTGAAGGACATGCGTCTTCAATTTCAAAAAATTCTTATCGACTTATAATATGACTTTGGCGAAACAGTGTAACGTCCGTTCGAAATATCGATTTTCAATAATATAGCTGTTATAAATTGTCACCGTGTGACAAAAACAACAACAGCAGCAGAAATGGCAGCATAACAGTCGGTTTAACACGCCGGTGAAGGTTAATCCTCTTTTTTAGGTTGTCAACCATCTGCTACCGGCGGCGCGTCCCTTTTCAGCGGTCCGACTATCGCCCGCGAACGTGACTATATATTCCTTCTCCTTCACGTCGGCTATGGTCAGTAAAACCTAAACGCTACGTAACGTAGGAATAAACGTCAAAAACCTTTTATTTTATCTTTCCCATCGTTTTTATCGTTGTATGGCCGCTATTCTAGCAATAAACGTGACAAATCCAGTGGCTTGAGGGACTCGAGTCCCTCTAATATATTTGTTTTAAAATAGATTTACTTGTGTTTGAATATGTTATACTATATTCTTCGATGGAACATTTTTAAACGGTAGATGATTGGAAATATTATTATACAATAATTATCGTTTTTTACTTTCAAAACTCTTGGGTGCAAAATCAATTTGCTGAAATAATAAATAATGTATTACTGATGGTTAGTTACTGCATTTTAGGAATCTCATTACTATTACAAAATATATTTTCACGTGTGAAGGATGATTTATTTTGACAATGAAATATATACCATGTGATAATTAAAATATAATGTAAATCGGTGATACGTTCAGCTGTTTAGAATGATTCAATCTTTTTCGTAAACTTAATTTATGAGTCTCCTCATAAATGAAGATGTAATGCATTAGTTACGCGCTTATATAGCGCTTATTGCCGTCTTTTTAAAATATTTGAAACATAGGTTATCCATCACACAAATCCGGTGAAACTCATATTATATTACCCATTACTTTATTCTTCATAAAAATTAATAAGCACATTTTTGCGATCCTGACATTTATTAAAACCGAATTTCATACGGATAAACAAGAAACGAGAAAGATCCGTGACACCTCAGTCACCTTCAATGTGAAAATGCAGGTCGTCAACAATGTGATCTTCCTCACGGAAGGCTCCCCTAAGAATTCGTCTCATCTGTTAGTGAAGCGATCGTCGCGTCATTGTGCACACGCCCTGAAATATACTATTAAAAATCGTCCATTGTCTCGGGCAGGGTTAATTTTTCGACTTTTATTACTACAGCCTAAGTGCATGCAAAAGCACGTATATATAAATATATATGCACAAAACACGTGAATGATTTATTTTCATTAGTCTATGCGATTAATTAATGTCGTTTACCCCATAGAAATCCCACAAACACTGACGAAAATGAAACCATCATATAATCATCTGTTTATAGTCCATTTCCTACTCCCCTCCACCACCAAGTTACAATGTCTTATATTGGAGCCAAACACAATGATAAACCGTCGCCATTTTAAGACTCAGACCAGGTCTGTCGTATAACTGTGATGGGCGAACTAAAAGTGTATATATTCCCTCCATTATGACATTTTGACCGTACTCTATTGTATACTATTGTATTCGAGCGTGAAACGTTTAATTTGAATAGTGTGATTCGTCTTGCTGTAGTTTCTAGATGTTAACCCATATGAATAGGTCTCATCACGTGCACATGTCTACAATCGGTGGATAATTTAATTTAACAAAGTTTAGTTAGTCGCGTTGATTGAAATAAATATTTTTATGCATATCAAAACGCTAAAACTATGTGTGGAAATGGCTTCGATTATATTATTATCATAAGATATGAGTAAATATATTACAAACAGATTCGTTCTTCTCTCTTTTCTTTAAAATGTTTTGCCATAAAAGTATCAAATTTTCATGGTTTGACTTTTTTATTTTAATTAAATAACAGTCTTAAGAACATTTTTATAAAATCTATAAATTACAAGTGGATTAGTGTAATAAAAATAGTTTATACTTTATAAACTAAATGATATTATCAAGGCCGTTTAAGTACTATTATGATAAATATAAAATTAATTAAAGTATACACGAAGTGCATTTTCAATATTCCTTTTTGTTATAAAAGGAATTGAATTTAATCATATTTATTTTCAAATACTATTTGTACTGAGAAGTAAATAAATAGCATTACGTTTTTTCTTTAAAGTATGTGTTATAAATGACTAACTGAAATTTTATAACTTTTTTATAACCTGATTATTGTCGGTAAGATTAAAAGAAAAAAAATGAATCTTATGATTGGTAAAATCAACGACTGGATTGAGTTCTGTGTTTATACAACATAATTTTCTTTTGGTGTCCTCAAGTGAAATACTGCTTCGGTAATGGAAAAAATATCATAAGAAACTTACACTTCATATTTTTGCACTATTCAAAATCTTTTCGATAATGGTTTAAACAAGTATTTAATATCCTTTAGAGCGCAAATTTTAACTAGTGCCTTGCATGACGTCCGGATTAATTTTAATCTGTAGTGAATTGCATCAAAAACCAAATAAAACAAAAATCCTTTGAGTTTTTCTTTTCATTTATTCTTAAAATAAAATCCTTTGAGACTATCGTAACAAATTGCTTGTCGGAAAGCTCTTTACAAATTCATGTTTGAAATATTACATACAACAGGACTTTTCATGTGTAAAAATAAACATTTTATCTGTGATGGAATTTATTTTTATTTTTAACTGTGATCCCTTTATCTTTATTTACAGTTCGATAATTACGATTATTAAACTATATAATACATCCATACACTTTAATAACTATGATGAGGTAGATTTAGGCGTTTTTTTTTACTCCCTAATATTTATATAAATCATATGTACGACTCGAAATCGCTTTGAACATAATTCATTTTTCAAGGACTGATTATAATTGTAAATTTAATAAATTTTTCAATTTTTCGTGTGTTTTTTTTTTTTTTTTTACTCAAAACCTATTCATAACGCTCTGTCGTTTAGGCGGTACTATATTTAAAACGCGTAAAAATTACGGCCATTAAGTGATTCAAATAACATAATCAGCCCAGCTTTAAAGACTCTTCATTTACTTCTGTAAGACGTTAATTAGTAACAATAATTTCAAATAATCAAAAATAAAGAGAGTGAAAAAGAGTGCGTGTTTGGCTGTTTAATGTGATTTTCCTATCCACGACCGAACACTATATATTAACACGTCAATTTCTCATGACCATTTATACCACTACTATGTTAAATGTGTTTGCACGCTCTTAGTTTTGCGAAACAAAAATAAAACAAACAACAAAAACTAATAAGCGTTTTCTCCGAGACGCCTATTCTAACAGAGGGAGAAGAGCAATGCGTAAAACTTAATTGCAATTGGAACCAAACCAAGAGTGTACGAAGAAATGCAGTCTTACATGGAATTCTGTAGCACTCCGTGACTAATAACAAGTTATGTATTGGTTAATGAGGTTGTGGTGCAAAACGAGATTAGCTAAATAAGTTTAATTGCCAAAACTCACTTGTCTTGCTAGCATGTGTGTTCGGAATTTACATTAACATATACACATTTACAGTTGGTTGTATTTAATTTGAATTCCCATTGTACAGAGCACTCCAGATTCGATCGGATGTAAATAAAATAATGTGACGACTACTAGCGTTGTACATGGTTCGACACATACTAGTGAGCCTCCGTTGTCTTTCCAGCTCAGTGTATTATTCGTCTTTCATACACACAGCATATATGTGTTTCCGAAATAATTAAGTTTTACCATCCTCATCCCTTACCCGTCTCCTCGTGATTAATTCTTTGAGATTTGGTTATACCAAACGAATATCGTATTTCGACAAATCACTATGCACCGATTACGTTCGTCGTAATATTATTCTGCATAATCATAATGATAATTTTACGTCGATTAATATTAACCGCGTCGTTATGTTCCGACTTCGGATAGCATAAAAGCTGTTGATTTGTCTATCCAACGCGCCGTCACAAAATACAACTGAACATAATATAATTATAATGTTCGGTAGTAAAATTATTATTAACATTAATCCGTGACTATTTCATACCCCACAATTTTAGTTCAGTAATTTTTTTATTATTAATTAGTAAAATATTAAATGTTCTATAGTGAATATAAGCTCGAATGGTTAACACAGTTCGTTTAAAAACACTCGCGAACGCATGTTTATATAATATGTATTATAAGTATGCTCATACATGTGCACACGCACCTAGTTTTCATATTTTTCTACGTCAACACTGTGCATACGCACCGATTATGTTCTTAACGTGAGGATATAAGCTACTTAGCTAATTTTCATAAAATACGAAGGATCGCAATATTCGTGACTTAATTTATATGGTGTATAACGACAATTCAATTAACCACTTTATCGTCGGTGTTGTGGGAATACAACGAGAAACCGAGATTACAGACTGCATTATAATGTGCCTCGGTGCGGTAAAATTGGAATAATTAATTATTATCGATTATTATTATTATTATTATTATTATTATTATTATTATTATTATCATCATCATCGTTATCATCATCAACATCGTCATTATTAATAATATGTTAAATGCGTGCAAGTTTTGAACCGTCACAACTTACCCGATCCTGTAATCCGTCGTTACATCACACGAGTGATCATAACTTGTCAAAAAATATATTTTATTTTTATATAAAACATTATTACATATACTTAATTTTCAACAGTAAATTGACATTCCAAAGTTACATATTAATACGTCTATAACCTAACGTATGTTCATTATTGCTTATTAGTAACACTATTATGCATCGTTTTTAAAACGTCAACGCAATACCACGTGTACTTCAACTTTTAGGATGCATATTTTTTCTGAACACGTAATTTAATTTAATGATATATTTTGTTTCACAGGATTCGGCTTTGTGACGTTCCATTCGGAAGATGTAGTAGACAAAGTCTGTGAGATACATTTCCATGAAATCAACAGTAAAATGGTAAGTCATTATTTATCTATACTATAGGCAAGGTCAATGTATAAGGTCTTTATTAGTATTAGTACGTGCATTTTTGCGAGTGTGGTTCTCTCTAAATTTCTTGTATTCTTTATTATTCGCTTCCGCTGCTTCTTCAGATAACTGGCATTTATTAAAAATATAAAATTATATATACATTATAATCGTTTAAAATAACTAAAGATTTTATATTTTACCTATTGGGAGAAGTGCTGCATTTATAACATCAGCTCCGTGTAGAAATATTTTATGTACACTACTAGGTATGAAGAACCAAGGATACAGAGAAATAAATAATTTTGCTGTATTTATAGTATACATTTTAAATTCTGATACATTGACTTCATGATCACTCGATATTGCAAATAAAATATTTCCGAATCGCTTTATTACATTTTTATGAATACCCGTAATATCAGCACTATTATTAAATTTTTTGAAAAATGTGGTATAATACCACCTAACTGTGGTATAATTTCAACATCTCCAAAAATATTAAAATTTTACGAGAGCCAGATTTTCTTTTTTAATTGAAATGTTTTTAAATTTCTTCCTGCACTACTCCACTTTTTATTAATGGTAGTAATAAAACAGTTTATTCTATTTCTTAATTCTATATTAAATTCATCCTCCATTGTAGTTCATTTATCACCAATTATCTCACGAATATACAAAATATTTGTATCAAAACACTCATTAAAATTTGTCACTTTTATTTTTTTGTTTCTAAACATTTCAAAAACATTTTGATTTTTTAATAAAATATTATTACCAAAACAAAGTAAAATACACAATATGTTAAATGTTTTATTTAAATTAATATATTTTTATGGATTGTTTTTTTTATTTTGAAATTCATTTGTTCTCCATTTAATTTTTCTCCAATTTATGTACAAATATAATGTTTAATTTAGGTTCTAAAATGAAAAACCACAAATTACCGCAATCAAACTAAATATTATCCTTAATAGGACATATATAGCTCTTGGAAAATACTAATAAATAACCTCTACTATTCTCTACTTATTTTTCATATTCTTTAATATTTTAAAACAAGAAATTTTCTATTATTTTCGCACATAATAACGTAAATTAGACAAGTGAAAATTAGCTCAAAATTAATAAAATAAATACATACATACCTTCCATTACTATATAAAGTAGTTTAAAGAAAAATATTTCGTAGAAGTTCTTTCAATGGACAATGTGAATCATATAACACACTATATACTCCAACAATTTATTTTGTTATTAAAAACCTTATCATAGATTATTAGGTATTTATGTACACTACATGGCGTATGTACGGGTTTAAAACTCCATATTATCTAATCAATAGCTAACTATCTTTCAATTAAATAATATATTGAGTTTAATTAGTGACTCAAAAAATTCTAATTTTGTCCCCCTAATTCAACTTTCTAGAACACTGAACATGCCGGTCAACTAGTTGATATTTTATGAGGTTATGATTAGTACCTTATTACATACTACATTATTATAGTATAAAAGGATTATTTCTACTTGTCAAAATTATGTCACATTGTTGCATGGACTGCAGGCATCACAGTGTCGACTTAATTTATGTTTGTGATGTGGTAAATCGAATAAGTGAACAATTATTTATTGTTTTTGGATGTTTTTTTTCTATTATTTATTCTCTTTAACAATATTTCACAGATTTTCAAATGCGTACAGCTAACAGAATACAGCGAAAGATTTAATTTGTGTGTTCATTACGTACCATATCATTCGGACTTGTTTATATCATTACTTCTAACTTTTGAAATTGTTTTTGTAATTTCATGTGAAGAACAATGAAACAAACAATGCGTGTGTGTTTGTTCATACACACCGCACAGTATATATTTTGGATTGAATGTATGTGTATATTTGTGTAGATGTACGTGTGTATTCCATAAAACGGTACTGTTGTAGGAAAACTTTATATCAACGTCAAGTTAAGACTGACTAGAAAATTCAGAATACGTCTTCATAAAAAGTTTACGATTATACAATACCTCAAAAACTCGGACAAAAATGTATGTTTAAAAAATAAAATTATAAAATTTTGAAATATGACAAACTATGAGCGCATTATTTGTATACACTATATTATGGGTGTAATATAATCTCATGAAAATACGAAGTAGTGATGATATAATAGTGTTATAAATTACCTTTTGCCAATGGTTTCACTGGACGGTTTTGTTTAACGAATAGCTGGTCACCCACTGAATATTCAATATTAAAATATATCGCAGCGGCGTTTAATTCCATTGTGTCAATTATATGTAGATGTATTTGTGATCCAGGGTAAAGGTGTTACAATTTACTTTATTTTTACACCGCATTGATATAATAATTACACATATATATATACTCCAATAGAAGCCTGCTGATAAAGTCATATCCTGCTCGTCTGGGTTAAATAGAGCCAATACTGACTGGTTAGTTTAAGTGAATTTGAAAACAAGTCTGCGATTACAGACTAATCGATTTTATTGTACAAAACATAATTAGTGTTACAATACTACGTAATACGTTCAACCAGAATTTCAAACCAGTTGTTGATATATTTTGAATGAATTCTATGCTCATGACTTGACATGAAAAAATTAAAATATGGATTACTTGGTACATGGAAAGGGGAGTGAGTGTGGTGGAAGAAATTATTATAAAAAATTAAAGTGTACAATATTTCCCGTAACGAGTTATTAATGCGTAAGAGCATTAACCGAAGATCGAGTACGGTCGTCACCGGATAACTGTAATCTTCACAGGAAAGGGTTATTACAACCCTGTTCGGTATTAGCTAGCACCGCTGTCGTTTTATTTTTTATTTTGTGACTAGGTTTTTTTTGCCTACTCCATCGCAATGGACCCTGAGGTCTCTGTGGAATTGTTGTAATCTCTACAAAACGGCGGGTATTTAAAGAGGCGACGGCAATAGTGGCAATCCTGGTGCAAGAACCATGGGTGGACGTGAGGGACGGTAAACCGTTGTCCATAGCTAATGTGCACTATTAATTGTTTTCCGGTAATTAATGTAATGTCTGGGCTCTAATGTTTTTCGAAGGGTTAATTTAATTTTACACCACTGCCGATATGCTCGACTAGGCGCTGCAGTATTCGTGGTGGTTGAGGGTAGGAGAAAAGCTATAGTGGATAGGGAGACCTTATCGACGCTCCCCGATCGAGTTAAAATTAATTAATCTTCCCGTTTGACATAATTCCGACCGTGCAATATATAGGCATTTTATTTGCGCATACATAAATATGTGTATTCGAGCGAGATAAAAATAATAATATAACGAGAAAAAATAACTGCAAATTATTGTTTATTATTATTTATTTATTATATATACATATATTTTTTTTTTTTTTTTGCTAATGACTAACCCTGTTTGGGGAATGAATATAATTTATAATATATCTGTAAACTACCGGAGTATATGTACGTTTGCTTGTTAATATTAAACGTACTGTTGACCTCATTTTTCCCCTAGTTATGTCTCTTCTGGAATTTATGAAACGTTATGGTTATTTATAATGCAAGTTAACTCACACATTTGGGATGTAAAAATTGTTTATTTATCTGGAACAAACAAATTACTTTTAACGCATTAAAAACAAATTAAACAAATTTAGCATTAGTCGCCAAAAATAGTTGGTGACGGTTTTTAAACAATAGTAGCGATTTTGATTTAAAAAAAATGTAAAAAAAAATATTTCATAAAAATAATAATTCTATCATACGATAAGATATAATACATTTTTCTATGGTAATTCCATTGATGACGTTAATTACCTTAAAGAGTATAGTACATAAATACTGGTTTAATTAAAAATAATTAGATTTTTAATTGAGTATGAACTTACAGAATAATATCAACCGCATAACATCCAAATAATACCTAAAATTGTTTTCCAGTGTATAAAATAATATTTATATATAAATAGTCATACTAACTCATATTATTTAATATTTTTATATGTTTATTTTATGGTGATTAACTTGCTTTTTGTTTTACTTGATTTTACGTGAACCAATATTGTGTTATTATTTGAAAAGCAATAACTAAAAACCGGATATAATTGCATTAAAAATATCTTAAAATTGCACTAAAAAGATGCCAAAATTGCAATATAAATATGTTAAAACTGCAATGAAAAATATATTGAAATTATATAGTAAAATCATATCAAATATATTCATTAATTATTTACTTAAATAATATTATGGACATTAATATAATATTTACAAAATATATCATTTTTTTTTAATTAATATTTATAATTATATACATCTCTAAATTATGTTCTTGAAAATTGTTTCTTTTGTTACTTAAAAATATGTGTATATAATGAAAAAATACGTTCAATTTCTACACTTGTTATCGATGCATATTTAAAACAATTTAAAAAAAATTGGTGTTACTTCTAAATTAAAATTTTAATTTCCTCTCATTACCTCAGAGTAAGTTTTAATAGTTTTATATCCTTAATTTTTTTCTAAGACATATTTTAATTTATCTTTAACTATTTTTCTATTGGGACCGGGAATATTTATCAAAATATTTTCAATTTCACTAAATATGTTTAAACTATTAAGTAACTAATTATTTGATTCTTTTAAACTTATAAGTTTTATGAATAACTCAGATAAATATAATTTTAAAAATGCTAAAATACATTTAAATACATTTAAAAATTAACGTCGTAGTTATATTTTTATTTTAAAATTACTTTAGAAATAATAGTTTGTATACTTTATCACGTGAAGTGTACAAAAATTGCAATAATTGCAAAAATTTTAAAATCATTGAAAATTACAAAATATTGCATTTTTAAATTAAATAAGAAGACTGTAACTTATCCGATTCGTATACATATTTGATCAGATTTGATTTACCTGGTATAAATAAAAAGTTGCAATGTCAATTAAATCCGGTTTTTAGTAATAACAAATATTTTAAATTGTTATACATATACTAATAGCTGTAGTTTTATCGCTAAATTTTACCTTAAAGCAAACTTAGCTGAAAACATATTTTAATATGTCTTTATTTTTATTTCGATGAACCTAATACTGTACTTAATACAAAATCACGAAATTTGAATTTAATAGTCTTCGATTAAAACGTTATATATATCAGCTAAGAATTAAAAAAGTTTTTTATTATAAAATAAAAAATAAACGATGAAAGTATCGTAGAATCTTAAGTTGTTTTATATGATAATGGGATGTACCGTATATGATATACGAGTCGAATATATAAGTTAACATCGGTGAAACAGAGCGCATTTATTTATTAAAATATACTTATAGAATTGAACTGTCGTTGCTTGTATATCATTTTGAAATTGTTCGGAAAGTTTATATTAATATTATGGCAATTGTAAAATTAGTTTTTAATAGTTGGCTATAGTGTGTAGTGTTGGAGTTATAATTTGATATCAGCCAAGAGAGTGGTTTTCTTCGGGTAATTACCAAAAATAATAATTTCGAAAATCGTTCAAGATTTTATGTGAAGTACATCAAACAATGTCGATATAGTCACTAATAATTTAATAAACTAACGTTGACATTTTGTCATCAAAACAATATATAACGATACAAATATAATATATATATAAATATACATGTGTTCATTATACCTTTGCAATTTATTTAGTATATTTCTCATATGATGGTATGTTAGTGTTTCTGTTATTAATGACAGCGTGATTCGGCAACTCGTATGATGGTAGTTACCTTATGCATGTAAATCGTCATTAATTATAAATGATAGTGGACGACTAGAAACAACGGGTGCACACGACGTTAATAAAAATGACGAGACAACCGCAAATGAGTATATGATCTTTTGTGTTCGATACCCTCTTTGTTCGTATTTTTATTCCTCCGGTGTGCGTGACCCGCGCGGATCCGGAAAATTACCCAATCAAGTCTAGCGGTCATCGTTAAAGGGACTGCGAACTAAATCCTAAAAGAATGACGCGCGAACAAGAGTGCAGCGCGAGAGGAAAAGCAATAGCGAAAATTGTCAGTCTCCATTTGTTGCCCGTCTTGGCAAATCGCATCGCCTCTACACGTATATTATACGGATGTCAATGACGGAAGTCGTTTGAAGCTTTGCGGTCAGACATACGCTATGGATTTACGTCACTTGTCGGCACAGCGTACACGTAATCACGCACGAACACATTTACACGACTGTACATGCATGTGTGTTGTACTAGTATCAAATTTCTCTTTTCCACTGCTGTATGGTACGTGTAACCTTTTTACAGTAGATTCAATAACGGTGAACTGTTGTTACATAATCACGTGCAGTCTTATTGCGATAACGTATAAACTTGAAGCATATGTGTGTGATAAAAGAAAAATTGCAAAACAGTCGGCGGCGGTAACGGTGAATGTTTGCGCGAAAAAAGCGCATTTCACTGTTTTATCGACGCCAAACAAACACTCGTTTTCTTCCGTATAAGTTTAGGATAGAGACCACTGCAGCATGAATAAAGGGCTATGTGTAATATAGGCATTTGTGTATGAGACATTTTTGAGCTATATACTTGTACTGCTCTTTCAAATCGTATACGCAGCTCTACTACTTTTATTAAAAGCTACCGGTACAATATACATTCCTCACATATTACATACATATATTTATTCTTTCTGATAAGAGGTTTATTTCGATTTTGCTTTATCTCTTATTTTCGTTTTCCTATTTCAATGCACTGGATGCTATATGTTCCATTTGAAATTCTAATTTCACTCTCATCGGACGTCTTGAAACTGAAAACTTGTCCAACCCTCCTCATATTACACTTATTAACGGCTTGAGTACAAACTTTACGCGGCGCTTTGGTTTCGATGTACTGACATATATATATACTATCTGACCCAGCAAACGTTGTATTGCCATTTATAATATTTTTAGTATATATTTTGTAGTATAAAAACTAACCTATTGTAAGTATTTTGGGATGGTGTCTAAATTCTGATTGAAAAAGAAATGGAGTTCTGTGGACGATGACGGCCTATAAAAATTACAAAATGCTAGCCCATTTTTTTAATTTAATGCACTAAATAATTTAATATGTAATTAAATAATTTTTACTTTTAATGACAGTTAAAAAAAAACAGACAATTAAAAAAAAAAAAAACAATACTAATCTTGAAAAACAATCAGCCACTCATGATTTGTATATTGTATGTGTATACATGGAAAAATGCATTCGATAAGAGCATTCTGTAAATCAACGATTGTTCCATTGCCGATATCTAACAATAGTTTTGAAAATGTGTTAGCGGATGGATCTTGAAGCACTTGAACACGCATGTTTACTTTTAGCTATAGTTTTTCAATATTACGCCGCAATGTCGATTATTTCAAGCAAGCGTTGATCTCATGAGTGTACATTGAACTTGGAATTACATGAAAAAATTGAAAAAATTGTTTCTTTGCTCTCTTCGATTTCTCTTAAATTTATTAATATGTAATTTTTTTTTCTTTTTATTTGTAGCTGCATTTGTTTGAAATCTCAAATTAACCCTTTTGCGTCTTGCTGACATTGATAAAATAAAACAATTTTTTCTTTTTAACTTTATTTATATACAAACAATATTATTATTTATTAAAATAAGAATGTGTGATATTTATTATTTTTAATTTCCAAGGATATTAATTAGTCCAATGATTACGCTTATATTATTGGTGTATAATTTATACGTTTGGGGTAGGCCTTAACACATAACCTTGAGGCCATAACCCTTAACACCTAAGGGTTTGATAAATAGTTTAGGAGCTATTCTCAGACCTAAAAAATATACCCAAAAAATTTCATGAATATCGGTTTCGGAAGAGTTCAATAAAATCTGTGACAAGAGAATTTTATAAGTTATATATGTATAGTATACCATAATCCACGTTGTAACAGTCGTGCATAGATTTCCAGATTAGCAGCAGCAGTATTTATGAAAAGTGAGCGTTCGAATTTTTAAAAGTTAACGAATGTACACAGGCGGTGATGTGTACATCAAATATTTTCGGTCGACTATTAAGCTGCTGGGGTGGAAGAGACTCGTATAACATCGTTATAATTATAATTATTATTATCGTCGTTGTCGAACGGAACCACAGTCGGTTAGGGGTAATGTTAAGTAGGTTAGGTGGTAAATGGCAAGTGGCATAATGTAATTCCATCACTATTATCACTATACCATTATCCATGAACATATACGCATAATGCGTTTAGGACATGTATGACACACAATGATGATCCATCGCGAATTTAATTTATAATTAAATTCGCATACTTTACGGAGGCGTTCGTCCGTTGTAAAATAATTCGATCGCACGTTCGCGCATTATCTATTATTCATACAGTTACAACAATAATAATAATTAATATTATAATATGCGTCGTATAATTTATCCTTTGAATCTGTCTTACCTTCTCTCCCCGGCACGATGGTAAACAATTTTTTCTGATGAACCCATGTGGACATATTCTTGAAATACGAATGACAATCGCGGCCCACATATGTATTTATTAGGTACTAAAAAGTAAAAAGTAATATAATATGATCAATATTAATCTATGATGACACGAAAATTCGTCCAAATGTCGAACGTCATAAGCAAAATGTCAAGTGGTATTTACAATAGTATTTATTAATGGCTTCAGTGAATTATAATAATATCCGGGAACAAGAATGTGTGATTTCACAACGGTAGTTTATACCTTCGTATGTTATATGTCCTACGTTTTATTATTGTTTTTTTTTTTAAAATTATTAATCTTCTTGCCCTTAATTTTTAACCGTTTGTTTTATTTTTCGAACGAAACGGAATCAGTTCAAGTCAATGGCTGTTACGGTGACGAACGAATAAATAATCACAAGTCGATGATGATAATTATTAGTATGCTGAACCCATTAAAATTTGTTTTATTAACTAGATGAGTGTTTGAAACCTAACGCTCAGGAGTTTTATGATACGTACTCGGTTGCACTCGTAAACCTGCAAGAAGCTCAGATGACTATTAAATATAAATTACTACCCGGTTGATTAATATATAATACCAGCTGCTTTGACCATGTATTCGTGGAATGGCTATGGGGTTTTTATGTAATATCAACAAAAAAAAAAACACTGGGGTAATGTTACCAACTATGCCGTTATGATGAAATCGTGCATTTACACTTGTGCGTGGATGAATTATAGCGGTCAAATACCAACGAATTGCATAGTCGAAACATAAACGTATTTCGTAAACCACTAATATGTATGACATACATATATTGTATGTATATATAATAACTAGTCACATATTGAGTCATAAAAATGAACTAGCTTATAGAATAATAGAAGAGAAAATTGAAATAAAAAGAAACAAATGATCTCCAATGCTGAACTGTCAGAATTACATAGAATATGTAAGTGTCGTATTTTGTTAACCGGAGACCAGCATTGAATATTATCTGTAAAAATAATTGACGTTTAAAAAATATATTTAACCCTATGAATTGTCTTGGAAAAACAGTGGCGTCACAACAAATTTAGCAGCATTACAATAAAACATTTTAATACTTGTATATACTTGCGATAGGCTTAGACCCGTTGTATTTTGTGTTCAGACATGTTTTCATAAACTTACCGATACTCAACATATACTGTAAAATTGAGCAAAGTGACGGTTCGATCGACACATGTGTTAACACGTCTCAAATCCGATACATTAACGTTAAATAGCTAATAAATGATAATTCGACATTTTTGTGGTACGGACTAACTGTATTTTCCCTGTTATTTTCAGGTGGAATGTAAAAAGGCGCAGCCGAAGGAAGTAATGCTGCCGGCGAATCTGGCGAAAACGCGAGCAGCTGGCCGCGGAACTTACGGTGAGTTTATTGTAATGAAAAAATCAGGCGTGGGCTTGTGCGCGGCCGGTGGTGGATCGCGGGTGTGTCATCACCACCATCATCATCACCGTCTGATCGGTTCGCCGTCCAGATCGACGCACCACCACGGTGTCGTCTCGACGGCCGGCACCGTGATGGGCGGTCCAAGCGGTGGTGGTAGTGTCGGTCTCAGCGGTGGATGCGGCGGTGGCAGCGGCGGTGACGGCGTAGTAAGCGGTGGTGGTGGTGCCATCATAACAGCGCATCATCACGTGGCCTCGCCGGCCTCGGCTATCGGTGGCTACCGTTTCACGCCGTACCCGCTGCCTCAGCAGTCCGCAGTGGCCGCGGCAGCAGCTGCCGCCGCGGTTGCTGCCGGCCAACAGCACCACCACCACCTGCTACACCACCACCACCAGCAGCAACAGCAACACCACCACCACCAGCAGCAGGCACAGCACCACAACCACCATCAGCACCATCAGCCGGCGGCCGCCGCACTCGTGCAGTTGCCCATGATCGGCGCCATGCATCAGGCGGCCGCGTGCAAACGCTTGCTGGCCGCCGCTGCCGCGGGCGTCCGGCTGCCGGTCAACCCGCAGCCGCAGCCTCCCCAGCCGCCGACGCCGCAGACAGTCGCGTTTAATTTGCCCGACGGGCTCGCGTTCGCCGTCCAAGCCATACCCGGTGCTGCCGACATGTCCGCCCTCTATCAGACTGCCGCCTTACCGTTAACGTTTTAAACTCCTTCCGCCCCCCATCGTAATCCTCGACCACTACGTGCCGATCGCGCAGAATCGTCATCCTGACCGCGACCACAATAATACCATAACCATATCGTAGTCTATAACGCGCCTTTACCCTCACTCCCACCTCACTCCCTCACTTCCCGTCCACGAACTTCGAAATCTACTTTCCTCTCTTTTACCCGTTATCCCATCCGTAGCATATCGAATTTATACATATTTATCTTTATCATTATTATTATTAATATTATTTTTTTTGTACATCAAATTAGACTGACGATGATAATTACGAAAACCGTTACCGTTCAATTATCATACTTTGTTTAATATTCTGTCACTATCCTCGTACACGTTATCCAATAATAATAAATAATCATACTCGCTTTCTCACTAATTTCGTTTCGTCACGTTTCAATTTTATCTTCTAACACGCTAGTTTTGACAGATCATTTTTTTTTCTGTTCAATTCTTTTCGTGTGCCATAATGTGTAGAAATAAACACGTGTATAAATAGTTTAGTTACAATTTTCACAGTCCACTTTAGAGTAAATTAAAAACAGCATTCGATTATTGTGTACAATAATCTTCTTTTTTGTTCTTCGCGCGCGGGCGTGTATCAAACGTGTAAGTTCAGGAGAGCTTTGGGACTCATATGTAGCGAAAATTCAAAAAAAAAAAAAAATTACTCGTGGCCTATGTTTTACCGATCAAAATGGATATACTAGAACCGTAAGTTAATCATGCCTGATGTGGTCTGCTCTTGGTATTGATTATAATTGTTTTTTTCTTTTTTGCTGTTGTCAATTTACCCAATTCCAGTAGCGTATTTATGTATTTATTATCGTCGTCGAAAACTTGTAAAATTTGTTTATCCATTATATAACAAATAAGAACTTAGAATAGAATAATAAAACCAAAATTAGATTATCATTGTACCTACTTATATCAAATAATACATACATATATAAATATATATATTATATCTGTAGAATAGATCATATTATACATATAAACATTATATTTGAGACGTTTTTTATAAGTATATATCTAAATATTTATAAATATAAAGTTATTGTAAGTTTATTATAATTTTGTAATCACTTAGTCTGTAGTGGTTTGATAACTCGTTTAGCTGCAACTATTTTTTACCATTAATATTTGAATTTCCGTTTATTATCGAAGTATACACATATTAGGTATACAGTAACCATATATTAACCATAAAAAAAATATCATACATTATAGTTTATATTATAGGTTTATAAATTATACCATATATACACAAATATACTATCGATAATTTTATTATTAACGTTTCTATTTAAATACTGAAACATTATATGCATTATATGTATTGATGTCGTAATTAATATAAAATAACTCATCGACATCGCCTTTAATTATATTGCAAGTATAATTTATACATATCACTATGACAAAAACCATATCCTCATAATATATATAAATTAATATCACTCAACTTTATTGCGAATCGAGTCATATATAATTATTATTTAAAATTCAATATCTTTATACAACCAACCTAACTTAACCTATTTTATCGAAATATCACGAATCTGTTCATCATTCCGTATTAAAATTACTTTATTAAAATTGTCCATGAGTTATTATCATTGGACTTAAATATTTACTGAAATATAGTTTTTTCGATAAGTTCTCAGACAAAATAATTCAATATCTTTCGTATTGACTGTTTAAAAATAAATTAAAAGTATTATAATAATTATATATAAAAAAAGATTTTATAAGACTGGAAAATAAATATTAAAAAATTCATAATTTATGAATAAAGTTCATAAATGTTATGATAGATACTTTTACACTCATATCGTTATACCACCATGTATATGTTATTGTTATTGTTTGATTATTTTTAAAAATTAATTCAACTATTAAATTGAATTCCATATGAAATGTCTTTTCAAGTCCCCTATTTGAGATTTATATTTATTTTACCGATTTTATAAATATACATATTGTACATATACATATTGAGAATAAGTGAAAAAAATATTGCAGGTTAGGGAATTTTTCGAAAATACGAAACTTTTTATAATTTGAAGATTTAGCGGCTTTAGATACTCCCCAATTTTCGTTGAAAAATACCACCACTCTAGTAGGTACCTATTGGCCTTTTTTTTTTTTTTATATATAACGTGATTTTTATTAAAAAAAAAAAAAATAAATAAAAAAGGATAAAAAATCTCGCCTAACGGACCAAACAGTTTGATGGGATTTTTTCATCATATTGTCCGACATTAATCGGCTTATGCTCTCCAAGGCATTATAAGCTCTTGCCAAAGTTCCGATCAATATTCTTTAGACGCTTTAAAAAATACTATATTGTCCCCTTCTTCATAACACCCAACGCAATAGATCGGGATGGATGTGATAGTTTCGCTCCACTGACAGCTCTACGCGGTGCATCCAAACCATTAGTTTAGAGAGATTTCATAACGACCGCAAAACTAAAAAAAAAAAGAGAAAAAACAAAATAAAAAAACGAAAGATTTATTTTTTATTACTTTGAGTACCAAAGTATATATTATATTATACTGCATATACAATGCGTACAAAATCAATAAAGTATTTTTTTCTCTCTTTTTTTACTGAAACGAGTGAATTAGATATTAAACTAAAACGGTATAGTAATGACTGAGAGAAATATAAAAACATATTAAAAAAATGACAAGGCTCCTAGGATTTTTAAACTTGAAATCAATTTACCATTTCTTTCGAAATAAACGATTTTGAGTGAAAAAGGTTAGTTGAATCAATTTATATTTCTAAAGATGATTGATGTGGTAATAGACCTAATATATTAATAAGATAGATGGAACTTTTAATGTTCTAACTTTTTTTTAAAAAAAAAGCATTCAAAATTTAATAAAATTTAAAATTTAAAATACCTGCAAACAACACGTTTTTTTAATAAAATAATTCAAAACTAAAAATGTCTCTAATTAAATAACTAATATTGTTTAAAGTAAATTCGTTGAAGTATCTGATTTTGGTTAAATTTAATTTTGTAATGCTTTTAAATAAATCATTTTTTCTACTTTCAGTAATTAATTTTTTGGCTACAAAGAAACTTATATGAAAAATAGCGGATTTTCGGGATATTTATCGTTTTGTCAAAATTTAATATTTAAACTCTTATAATTTTTTTTGTGTTTTTTGAAGTTACGATAAATTAATTTTCTTTATTCAATAGTAGGTTTGTATAGACTTTCTGTCAAACCAAAATTATTATATCGACATCTTCGAAAAAGTGTTTAGAAAACATTAAACCTCAATTTTCTACAAATAGTTTATAAAATATCTATATAAAATCACTTGATCTACACTCAAAAGACAATATAAATATATTGTGAAAATTGGATAACTGTCGGAAACCGGTATGCCATAAATTTAGGTGTATTTTTAAAGGTTTTTTTTCAGGTTTTGCAATGACTATGCACTATTGGAAAATTTGTAAAATGGCCCTCGTAATTAAAAACTAAAACCAACTTCTTATATTTCACTTTGTACTAGATAGCAACTAGAGTTCTCCTTCAGGTTGAAATCGTATACAAATGTATATATCATAATAAAAATAAATACATTTCTTAATACCTAAAATACCTTTTATTGAGAATTTGAAAATAATCACATGATTAACAGGTTTTAGTTATTATGAAACCTATAGGGTTACATTATATTGTATTAGATTGAAAATGGTTCTTCCGGATTAGATTGATGTTTATTCGATATTTGAAGTGTATTACCTCGTCTATTACTTATATTGTTGTGTTTAGATAGTGTTATTGATTATTGTAATGCATCCCAATTTAAACAAGCTGAATTGGAAACTTTGATGGTTTGAATTCAATTGTATCTTAGTTACCAACACAATATACATTGAAACGTGTCCATACGACCTTCGAAGCGGGTCATACACTAAAATATTATTACACGTACCTTTAGTTGTCTTCCAATTTTTTTTTTTTAATTTTTTAATTTTTAACTTCGGAATACTTCCTACCTTTATTTTTTAGATACTATACTTATGATGTTTTTTGTTCTTCGTTGAACATTAGCCTTAGGATTTTTTTTTCGGCCTTTTTTTTATTTTATTATTCTTCAACGTTTAGTTTAAATTAATTAATTTTATATATATATATATATATATATATAACATATAGTCATATAGTTTAGATTAGTCCTGAAAGCTCTCGCTCGGGTGAATTTTTTTCGGATTTCGAACATTATGACTACTAACCGCGTGTTCCCTCCATTATCCGTCCCAGAAAATGTCATCGTGAAATTGAACATTTTAAATGCACACGTTTAAATGGATGAACGATATGGAACGTATGGATGAAATGAGTCATTCTGTTCTTTAAAATAATAATTTTGTATTTATAATTTGTGTAATGTTTAAATCAATATATGACTTTTTATTGTGTGACAATATTAATATGTGGTTTTTTTTTTTAGATTTTATGTGGCCATTGGGGACCTTGCCTGACGGTGAGTACAATCATTATTTTAAATAAACGTACAAAACAAAACAAATGTGTATACGGTTTTTCACACCACAGTCTTGTGCGTTGTATTATCGTTGTTATTGTTATTATTATTACTATTATTATTACTGTCTACTTTTTATACCTGAATATTATTAATTGAATAAAGTTTAACGGGGCTGTCCGATTTCGGTGTCATTAGTAACATATCACGTCAAGGCTGATGTGTAACGTCGTTACAAAATAATAAACATTACCTCTCCGCTGTGTGCTTTTCCGAAGGCACGGGCCCAGGCATACAATAGAGACCCTAGGCAGAGGACTGATTGGTCGGATGGCAATGGTGATCCGGGGGTCGTGAGGGAGCAGCAGGACGCAGAAAAGGAGTGGGTGTTCAGACAATGACAAATGGTCTTCCCCGACACCACCTCTGCCGTTTCTCTACCGCACGAGGGTAGTAAAATCGAGGGTGAACAGTCGGGGAGCTGACTGACACTCACTGCTGGGTGCGCATAACAAATTGTTCTAAGACACGACTAATTCCTTTATCATGTCCGGCATTTCCGTCGTCACCGTTCTCATTAATTCGTTCAATATGTATCGTCAAAACGTTTCATTTTAATCATAATAATATACGTAACCAAAATCATATTAATTTTATGTGCTGCACATTACAGTAGTGCGATAAAGTATTTTTTTTTCTCATTTTTATTCTTTACCCTCGATAAAACTTTATCGAAAATTCCATTGTCATATTGTCGTGATCATATCGGTGGGAAAAATTGTTTATTCGTATGTATTTTTATAATTATTATTATTATCCAGTCTTTTGTTTCAGAGGGAAAAACGAATAAAAATATACATACATACATACATAAAATGTTTTTATCCGGAGCCATTTTTAATTACGGATAATAACTGTGTCAGTCACTAGCTCATTTTTTTTTTTTTAAGCCCCTTGTCACTCCAAAGTACTAGAAAGGATATGGAAGCTTTTCTGGTGCCCGACAAATGGATTCGTGTACGTCCAAACAGTCATCGCGACAGTGCCAAGACAGATGATCGTCCCCTTGAGCCGCACTTCAGGTTCTTGTACATTTTGTCTCGGTATAGTGGCAAACAGCAAATGGCAGAAGAGGGGAAAGGAAAGAAAAAAAAACATTTGACATTCATCCCTCTTTTTATCCTAAATTTCCTCTCATTTCGAGGAAGACGAGATCTGAGGGACGACGAATCACCATAATGAATTCGTGATATCAATCTTCGGTACAAAATACTAAAGAGACGGTTTACCGGGTAGAGGAGTAGGGTTAGTCCCCGCACTTTGAGCACATTCATCGGCAACCGACGAAATCGCGCGAAAACCATTATTTATGTGCACATTGCTCTTTCTCTTCATAGTTATTTGCATCTATGTTTCGAACATGAAATTTTAAATAACGGAATTGACATGCACCGCGTAAGTTTGCCAAAATTCCATCTTTCGGATTTCGGATGTAGAAATTCATTGTCGAGATTGCATTTCGTGAAGATGGGGTGAAAGGAGGAGAAAAAAACCGAAAACAATAAACACTTGTAATCAAGTCAATGATCAATAAATAATAACCATATTTGTATTTAATCGCTAAAAGGTGGTCATGTTTTAAGTATGACGATAAACAAACATCCTATCCATTTGAAACTATGTTGATTTGAAGCGATTAAATCGTTAATAACAACACACACTGTATGCTAAACAAAAAAATATTAGTAGTTGGTAGTATCGATGTTTACATCAAATTTCAGTTCTATTGTCACTAAGAATAACTATCCATAAATATAATAAAATTGCATTAGTCATTTGTCGTACCACAATTTCTGTAAATAACAATTGTATAAATTATAATGTTCGTTAATTTGATTTGTGTTCAGATTTCTTTTTAATTATTATAAATCATTTAAAACAAAGAACTAAGCTTGGTACGAATTACAGTTTGATATTTATATTTTTTTCTGATTTTATTATTATTATAATTATTCATATTGTACTGTTTCATATTGTGATTTATATTTTTTTACAAAAATCCGCTTATTATAATTAAAAATATTACAGTCCGACAGTTTTTATAACGAAATACAATTAAAAAATGTGCTATTAATATTTCATTTAAATGTTAGATGAAGAAGGAGAAGTTATTATAGTCGTCAAACGTATTACATTATTACATTTTTGAGGTTTTACGCGGGCAGAACAAAAAGACAATTATTTATCCGACAAGTCTTATGACCAATATTATATTTCAATTTATACAAATAATAATTCAAACGGTATAGCTTCGCCTCGGTATAATTGTATTATAACGAGCTTTATTACGATACGAACCGTAACGTTTGGAAATAATTAACTCGCGTGTTCACGTGCACAATATGTTTATATAAATTTAATATAATATTATCAATCTACTACGAGTATACGAGTACCTTCCTATTCGGCCAACAGTTATATTTTTAAATCCGAATACAAGACATCAAAATTAGGCTCCTGTGAAAATTTAATTTAATTAAAACGATGGTCGCAGAAAATCAAGGACAGTTTTAATAAAATAATATTTTTTTTCACGTTTGAGCGAAACCGATTAGATCGATGTGAACATCCTGGAGAAAAAAATACGACCATCAAGACATTATGTGCATCAAGTCACCCTTGCCGTTAAATCCTATACCTCCATGACTATATTTCACATGACAGAAATGACTTGGGGTGAGTTTAGGCATCAACCCATATCCAATATCAGCCGAAATCGGTGGTATCGGATATCTGAGTTTCTTCAATCCATATTCGACCGGTATTTCGAAGAAAAACTTAAAATCGGTTATCCGACCCTTTTGAAACTATAAAATATTGCATTTATAAAAATTATCGACTTTAGATTGTTTAAATAAATAATTTGGGTTTTTTTTAAAACCAAATTTCGTGAAAATGTAGAATATGGTGCATTTTATTTTTAAATTTTACTGTACGATTTTTTATTAAAAGTGTTATATATTTATAAAAATGAAAATGAGGTTATTAATATCTTGATTTGATTAATTTTATTTCGTATAAATTCAGTCACCGCAGAATTAGCGAATTATCTGATCATTCTGATCACGCGCCAATACTACCAACTCGTAGAGTATACCGCTGTGGTTCGCGAAACCCTTATGTTCCTAAAAAAAATTACGATGCCCCGAACATCAGGAATTTATTTTCGAGTCAACAATAATTATTTTTCTATTAAGAAAAATACACAGCCCCAAATTGAATTTTTTAAAAGCTCAAAATTTATCATTTGCTATGGAAACTGGTCATTTTACCTTGTACTGATAAATTCACTTTTTAATTTTGCGAAAGTACATAATGAAGTCGGAATAATCACATTTTATCGGAAGTCTGAGTTGTAAATCAAATTAATATTCTTAAAACGTAAAATTCATTACGTAACTCAAGTAACCATGCATTTCCTCGTTAACTAAGAAATATAATATTAATATTAAAATGTAATCAGTTCAGATATGCCCACGGTTCCACGGAGCTCCTAGACTTCTCTCGTGGATCTTTAGGGCTCCTCGAAGCACGGTTCAAGAACCGGTAGCGTAATACAACCCGCTAACCACGGTATAACTGGTAGCCACTGACTCGGGCGCATGTAACCCAAGTCAGTGGTTATATTTCATAATACGTACGCGTTACGATATTGCGATGTGGTTCGCAAGGTCGGGGCCCGTGACCCGGGTTATAACTCCATTGCGTTCGTAACCGTTGCTGGTCGCGCGATCGATGTACCATCGGGCATCGGTAGATTACGGTCCGCGAGATTGCATTTTCCGTGCGCGCAAATTTACTGTTCTTCCATTTTTTACGTGCCATCGCCGCAGCCATCGTTAGTTATAATTATTATTACCACTATCATCGTTATCGTTCTTCGGTACTATTGTTAACCGTAACCGTTTTACCAGCGTGTTCACTAATCGCCTCATTTCGTATGTTGCAGGTTTTCCGGCAGCTGCGTACGCAGCGTACGCCTCTAGCCGAGGTTTTTCGGGTTACCCTAGTTTCGGACTCTCGTATCCAGCAGGTAATAACCACGCACAGGTCACTGTGCTCCCTTTTCCCGCACTGCTTGACCATCACCACAACCATCACAACACCCATCCTTTCTATATGCATGCCATGCCTCTGTGAACATAATTATTATTATTAAATAACATTATTATACTATTATTATTATTACTATTATTATTATTATTATTATTATTATTATTATTATTATTATTACAATTATTATTATTATTATTATTATTATTATTATTATTATTATTATTATTAACACCGGTGCTCCGGGTCGAATTCGCATTCCCCAAAGCGTTCCGAGTGCTCGTACCGTCGCAGTCTTCGTACTTTTGTGTTGTCCCTGTGTGCATTTTTCGGTTTTCATCGATCGTAGCACCTCGAATGGCCGAGTGATATCTCTTGCGCATCACTTTTTGGTGCGTATTTGTGTTTACAGAATATTAACCTTTGCGCGCGCGCGCGTGTGTGTGTGTGTGTGTGTGTGTGTGTGTGTGAGTTTGTGTTTATTTGATATTTTTGACCTTAGTGAATATTTATTACGTACCCGTCGCCAATATTCTGTTTTATAATCGTCCAAGTTTATCCGTCATCGTTATTGCTTTTATTTTTTTTTTAAAAAAAAAAAAAAAATTTTCAACACTCACCAAATATCAAAGTGTCATACGCGTTTTGCGAAAATTCGGCCCAGACATTCGGGTGGCATTGCTCTTTATAAAACTTATATTTATGTATGTATACATATATGTATATTTATGTATATGCATGTATGTATATTTATGAATACATAAGAAAATACATGCAGAAAATGTATCATTTAAATATTTTACTATTATGTGTCTATGCGCTTACTTATTTTCATTATTATTATTATTATTATTATTTTTTTTTTATTGTAACAACAATAATTTATCTTATGCGTTTTAAATCAGCTACTGCTAACATTGTGTGTATGTGTATTTAATGAATACGTACACATTTTGAGTCGTTCGTAATACGCCTCGCTTCGGTCTGTTGTTTTTTTCTACCTAGTGAAAGTGGCTTATTATTTTATTTTATGGATCAAACCTAGAAATATATTAATCAATTTTATTTTCGCATAACTTCAAAATCGTTTATTTTTTCCGTTTTTTACCATGACAATATAATATATTATCTTTTCGGTAAAAAAAAAAAAAAATAAATAAGTCACTGTCGGTTTTACTATCAACAGTTAAATAAAATCGCGACTGTGACAAGTCGATGATTATAATAATACGACACAGACAATACCCGTTGTCTACATTGACACTATTTTTATTTTATTTTTTTAATTTTACGCGAGTTGAATAAATTCTAGTGTTTTTACTAATAGTGACCGGTTAGGTTAGAATATGTTCCGGTAGTTAATTACAATTATTTGAATTTGTATTAGATTAGGTTTATATTTATATAATACATAATATACGATATTAATCGACGTACGTTTCTCGATTCAGAATAATAATTATTTATCGTCGACTTATAGTTATAGTCAATAATTAGCTATGATGTTTTTATTAGGATAATGAATTATGATGATGTTTAACGATCAAACTTAGACGTAGTAACGTATTATATTAATAATATAGGGACGAGTGTAATTTTTTACTGTTATTGAAATGATTATTGAATACGATGTTCATCGCCACGATGGGATTTCTTTTCACAATTTTATTATTATTACTATTATTAATATTTGCTTCGTTTTCTTTACACATTGTTTTTTTTTTTCGTTTTTTCTACTTTATGATGTACCTTTTTTCTTTCTTCAAATGTATAACAAAACAAAGTTCACGGCCGTTCGCCTATTTAATATTGGTTTAACATAAATGTCACGACTAAAATAATTAATCAAAAATTCTGTGATAAATCGCCATCGTTTGTACATTATTTGCGTGTATTATAATTGATCTTTTACTTTTATTCGGTTATGGAATTTTTTTTTTTTTAAATAATTATATTTATATATATATAACATGAATATATATTATGTATATTATATAAATCATTCTTTTCGTCTACTACAAATATTTGTTATCGCGTTGAACGTCCGCTGTTAACGTTTGTATCACTTCAACAATATGTTATATTATGTACACTTTTAAGTGCCGTGTCAACTATAAGTTTTTGTTTTAACATTTTGTTTATTTTTCGTTGTCCTTATGTTTTCATTTTTTTTCCATCACGATCGTTTGCAATTCATGTACTATTATAGTGTGTATTCATACGGCAATTTCGTGTTTACAAAATGTTATTATATATTGCTATAAAATGGGTTAGTCAATTAAATAATGTCAATATGATAGTTCACAGTAGCATGGTCCAATGTGTTCCATTACGACAAATTATTATAGAAAGAAAAAAAACAAAAACAAAAATAAAATTCAATAACCAATAGCATGTTATGTTTAATGGAATTGTTACTGTACTTTGGCCCGAGGGTCCGACTAGTCTAATTTTGTCAGAGAAGGTTCCCAGTAAAATTAATTCGTTAGGTGTTTTTTAATGTTAAACTAGGAAATAATTATTAGATTTAAGAAACTATTAAAACACAATATTCAGCAATATGTAATTGTTTATATAAACTAATGATGACCCAGTTACGGGATTTTCGTTGTTAAAAAAAAAAAAATCCTATATACCTTATGTTTGTAATTTAAAAGTTATAATTATTACTGTATTGTAATACTATAAAATAATGATAATTGTTTTTTAACAATGTATAATATGAGCATTTTTATGTCTCGTAATATAAAAACCTATTATGTTACATATTACAATGATTATTCTATCAAATAAATTTAAATAAATTATTGATAATACAAATCACAATGTTTTAATTTATGTAGGAGCAGTATTTTTGATTTACATCGACCAAACATTCTAAATTATATTATCTTTTTTAATTTTTTATATACTTCTATATTTTATTTTGATCATAATTTTATTTTATTTTTTCATCTCTAACACTGTATCTCCAAAGGCTCATCCATTCAAAAAGGGTTTTGCATAATTCATTTTTTTTCTCACAATTCCTGTGCTTAAAAACAATTTGTTTCGATTGACGGCATCTGAAACCAACGACTACCAAACACCCTTACGCCAATTTGCATTATTTTAGTTTTGTATACAGATTCTATGCAAATAATATTGAAACATAATATTATTAGGCTAAGCTACTTAGTTTCTATAGATAGCCTATAATTGTATTTGCCTGATTTTTAAATATCTAAACTAGAATTTCTCATTAGCGTAGAAGACGTACATACGTATACTATGTAAACACAACATAATATTATACCTTCGTTGAATTGACAGTTGTTTTTTATATATTTAAAATTTTTTAGATATTTTCCTGTATTGTTTAAACGTTTCATCAATGATCAAATTTTTGTTTGTTTTTTAACATTTTGTAGGGGTTGCTATTATCGGGACCAGGCCTCGTTGCGGTATTACTCCAGCCCAATGCCATAACGGTAAATCATCAATACATTTTTCCATTTTGTTTATTCCTACGTATACTTATAATGTAATTAGAATGTCAACTATATATATATTTAAAATGTGTACATCATTCCTGCGTAATATGAGAGGTATTGGGGGTAGAGATTAACCCTATAAAGCACTTACCGAAAAATTTAAAGATTAGATTACTGTTTTTAGTGTACACCTGTGTTGTGGGTAAGATATAGTATTATTATAATTAATAATAATAATATTAATTTACGTTAACCCTTAAGCAATTAGAAGTGATAGATATTATTTGTTTAATAATATATTATGCATATATAAAAATAATATCGTCAACGACTTATAGGCGCACTAGAATTTCATACACATATTATTATTATTGTTATTATAACAATATTCTTGTGAAAAACATGTGTAGCTTGTGTAAAAAACTCTATAAAATATTAAAAATCCCATCGTTTTATCAAAACGAAATCCCAAGAACAAAGCGCATAACGCCGGGGACAGTGTCGAGAAATTTCATATTAATAGATATGGATGAGTCTTGGAAATTTTTCATTTGTTTTCTCTTCTTCCTCGTAGGATTTGATCGTATTTATATTTCATCTGCGTTATTATTATTTATTTTTTCCTATTTTTATTTTTATTTCGACTATATTTGATTTTATCAATAACGCCGCTCGTTTTGTAAAACGTAACAGCAGCGATTTTTGGTTTGTACACATTATATCTTATCCCAACCAACCACATTGGGTTGACCCAGTATGTGTCTATATGTAGACGAATACATACATATATGAGAAAAAAACAAAAAGAAGAGTAATACACATATAGATTTTTATCCAACCGACGCTGGTGTGTACTACATATAGAAGAAAAACACAGATGTTTCCTGACGATTTCTACTCCGATAGACACGAGTAAATATTCAATATTAAAATTTATATACAAGTATATACATACATTATATTATTATTATTATTATTATTATTATTATTATTATTATTATTATTA